TTTTAGACAGCAGGCATTTCTTTCTTTCTTTCTTTCTTTCTTTCTTTCTTTCTTTCTTTCTTTCTTTCTTTCTTTCTTTCTTTCTTTCTTTCTTTCTTTCTTTCTTTCTTTCTTTCTCAAAAGGGGAAAGATGTCCAGGAAGGGCAAGGTCACTGGCGGACTTCGCGGCCCACCAAGGCCCGTCACTTTGTAGGAAAGGAGATGGGGTCTACCCGGCCTCAGTTGCTCGGCCAGGCAACCCCCCCCCTCCCCATTCTGGACGCCTGGATAGGAGCAGTCGACCTCCCGTCGAGTATTTTCAGTTGCTACGAAAAATCTCCCTCCTGGAGCCCTCCTGGTTGGTGTGTGTGTGTGTGTGTCAGAGAGAGACAGAGAGAGACAGAGACAGAGAGACAGAGAGCTCTACTAACAGGAAAGGCAGCTCGGTAAGGATCATTTCTGTGGGGGAGATTGGGGGCTCCAGAAGTTCTTGCACACGCGTCCTCGGTGGGTTTACCCAGCAGTTAATTCCCCCCCCCCAAGGTGCCTCCCCCCGCCCGGTGTGCCCGCCGCCCTGGAAGGGGTTTCTTTTGTTTGCCTTCCTTTTGCGGGCGCCGGGAAACAACGCCCAGGCGCGCCCCCTCCCTCGGCCAGCCCCTTGAGTCGTTGGGGGTGGTGGTGGAGGGACGGAGGACCGGAGAGCAGAAGGCCACTCCGTCCCAGGCCGAGGGGAGCCCCCTTTCTCCTCCAAGGAGGGAGGCCCAGGCAGGCCACCCCGCCGTCTGGCTGCTCCTCTTCCTCCCTCCCCCGCCCCCGCCTCGGCCTCCCCGCCTCCCGCCATTTGTTTGGCCGCAGCTTCTCCTCGCCTTTCACCGTTGCCCTTGGCGGAGCCGCCTGCCAGGCTCGCCTTCGGATTTCGCTTGACTTTGGCCTTGCCCAAAAGCGGCGGGCCAACCACAAGGCCGACCGAGGGGCACAAAGGGATGCCGCCGCGCCGTCGGAGCCTCCGCTTGTCTCTCCCGGCCCGCCCCCTCCGCCTCCCATTAGCTTTAAGCACAAAGGGGGGGGGGATAATCCCTTAAACGCGGGGGTAATTGGGGACGTGTTTCCATTTTCGGTACACAGAAGCGGGGGGCTGACTTTCGAGGGGGTTTGGTTCTTGTTTTTGTTTTTTAGTTTTGGGGTACTGTAATTTTGGCGCATGGCATACTTCGTGGGTGGGTGTTTTGCAAATCAAATGCTGTAAATTTAAAAACAAAATAGCGTCAGCCCAGATGGAAATGTCGGGTATTTTCCTGTAATTCGATTTTCCCCGGAGTTCGTCTTATGACCGAGAGAAGAATTATTTATTTCGGAGATCTCTCCAGTCTTCAAAAGGCGGGGAATTGTCTACGTAATCTGTGTAAGAAGAAGAAAAATAAAATAAAATGGAGGCGAGGGTTATATACTTTACCGGTTTCGTATAGCATTGCTTAAAAAAAAAGAAAAAGTGTAGTCTCTCAAATGCAATTTTGAAACCCAGATTTTGGTCTTGGTTCGATCTTTTTAAAATATAAATGTGAATCTTTTTCATTGCAGCGCCCCTAAGCGCTGTTGCCGTCCGTGTTGTTATTTCACATCTGGAGAGAAAAAATGCATTTCCACATATTCATTCAAGGCATCGCCACCAAGTTCGTACAATAAATTTATAATTGCAGGTTGTTATTCCAGTGAAATACAAACCGGCGCAAAAAGCAATCCGCGTTTCCAAAGCCGGCGATGGTTCCTCCGCAGGGCTGTTGGAGAGTGAATTTTTCTCCTTTGTTCTTCTCTAACTCTGGATCTTCATCTATAGATCTAGGATAAATATTTCACGAGGCCTCAAACTACTGAGAGGAGGAGGCAGGAACGAGGGCACTTTTCCCCAAGGCCGAAGGCCGAACCCGACTCCAAACGCCCGTTTCCTTCCCGCTCTTTCTCGTTTTCTTCTTCCCAGATAGAACTGCGAGAATCACACGGAGCGATTTAAATAAAATAAAATAAATATCAGTGGAATTAAATAAATACTGACAACTAAAGTTGAGTCTGGATTTATTTGCGAAAATTAATCCCGCAGAGCAGCCCCTTCGGTTTCGCATTAGGTCGTCCCGGGCGGGATCCGCCGGCGGTTCAGTCGCCAAATAAGGCTTCTTGCGTCCCGACCCCAAACCCAAAAAGGAAACGGTGGTCTCGTCCCCCCCTTTTTTAATGGGTGGGGGATTCATCTCGCTGCTGGTGCGGCTGGTACTGCTTTCAAAGACTGGATTCAACCAGGGTTTTCGGAATCACAGCGCAGCTGAACGTAGAAAAGATACTGCCTACTGTTAGGCTTGTTTAGCCCGACAGTTCTGGATAGGTGTGGAGATGAAATCCTTCATAGGTGTGGAAAGCAATACCGTGGGGGTGAGGGGGGGAGTGGGAGTGGGGGGGGGAGACGTAAGGATAAAGAGGGCCCGAGGACATGCAGGGTGCATAATATGGATCTTCTCCGATGTCCCCGGATTTTTGATTACGTCACCCAAGCACAGAGTCCTGGCTGCACAATGCATCCCTGTTCAAAAACCGGTTAATTCCGATGCAAACAAACAACAGGGTCCGCACAGAGAAAGGGACTCTATGCAGGGCTCGGTCCCATGCACAGTTACCTGGGAGCAAGCATGGCTGGACGCGGTGGGACTTACTTCTGAGTAGGCTCGGGCAGAGGGAAGGGCAGGGGACAAAGAGCTGCTTCGGGAAGGAGCACTGCTGGGGTGGTCAGCTCTTGGGGGGGGGGGTTGCTGCGATAGGTGTATCGGCATCATGTGTGGTTGCAGCTAATAATAGGGGGTAACTTTGGGGGGAGGCTGGAACGCCGCTGTGTGACTGCGGACAAAGGTGCTTGGGCGAGACCGATCCAAAAGGCTACCGCGAAGGCGTATCTGCGGGTGGAATCGACATCCTGCCGCCTTCCACGCGTTATTTTTAAGGGATTTTGAATGGATTCGCACCCGCTTTCGGGCTTCAGATGGGCTCTTTTAGGAAAGGATCCCCATTCATCGTTCTGGGATTTGTTCCTGAGTCACAGCGGTTGGGATCGCAGCCTTGGCTTTGGTGCCTGTTCCTTCAAGGCGAGGAGAAACTGTATCATCGCCCCCCCCCCTCCCAACAGGCAGAGAAAAGAAATGGGGATCGAACGTTGCTACAGGGTAGGGTGGTCATGGAGGCATAGAGAGATCTCGCTTGTGATTGTGTGTGTGTGTGTGAGAGTGTGTGTGAGTGAGAGAGAGAGAGAGAGAGAGAGAGAGAGAGAGAGAGAGAGAGAGAGACTGCGTGTGCGTGTGTGTGTGTGTGTGTGTGTGTGTGTGTGTGTCAGAGAGAGGTTGTGGTTGTGGTTGTGTGTATAGATAAGAAGGCGTTCTTTCTCCCCCACACACACACTCACCGACAGACACACACACAAACACAGTCACACGGACCGCCATGCCTGTAGCGCTTCACGAGTGACACTTCCGTGGCGGCCATCGATCTTCCCCAGTCAGCCCCAAATCCGCATCTTGCTGGCGTGGGGGGCCCGTCCTCCTCTCTGATAGGCTAAGCGGAGGCGCTTCAGCCATGCCTGGGAGTTTGATAAGGCAAAAAGGGACCGTCCCCTCCGATTGTTTTAAATGGCTCCGGGCGCTTTTGTGTCCCCCCCCCCTAAAAGAGCATAAATAATTAAAGTTTGGCAGGGAGGGGGGGGGAAAGAAAGCCTCTTTGCCGCACCGTCGTGGCCATAAACGAAATGACTCAGAATCTCTTCTCCAGTCAGTTTTTACGAGAGCTGCCAGACAGCGTCTGCTCACGTTCTCCAGATACTGGAGGCGCCATAACAAAGTTAAGGTCAAGTTAGTGTCTTATCTTGGGTGGCACAAAATACCGCACCTTCTCCAGCCAGGACCTGGGATAATTGTTTTCTGCCTGCCTGCCTGCCTTCCACCTCCTCCCGAGTCTCTTGCGGATCGTCCTAATTTTCCATCAAAGGTTTTTTGTTTTGTTTTGGAAATGCCACTTGGACTAGAACCCCCGCTGGTGCCCGGAGGCGAGGAGCGCGGTGCTGGCAAGACGACGAACGGTAAAGTCATGGCATTGGTGCGCTTTGTACAGCTTGGGTTTGGTGTGATGTTGCCTAATGCGTCGAGTCAGGGGATCTGCTGATCGCGTTGAAAAACCTGCCAGGGCCATCCTAAGCGAGGCTACCACCCTTCTGAGTCCATTGAAGCCTATGGGTTTTAGAAGGGCGTAACTCGGTTTAGGATTGCTCGGATTTTCAGGCGAGGGAAAGCTCTAGAAATCGGACGAGCCCAGGTTTGTCCTTGGCCAAGGAAACCCCAGGTGGGGGGTCTCGGACCAGCCTCTCCAGAACGTGAGTGGTCTCTTGCCAGTGGTCGTGATGTCCTTGAACTTGAAGCGGTGGCCACTGACCGACTCCGGTCCGCATCTGCAGTAGAGGAGAAGCATCCATGACGCAGAGGAGAAGCAGCTATGGTGGTGCTGGCGAGGACCTGGCGGATGGTTTCCTGTGGGGTGGCGACTCGAGACGGGTGGGAGGCGAGACAGGAAGGAAGAGGACGGTGGTGGGCTTGCTTGTCTGCTGTCCTGCAGGAGCCCTGCTCCGCTCGCTCTGGAGGATTCTTGAAGGCACCCTCCCAATGAAGGTCTTTTGCCTTTTCCCCCACGGCGAGAAGGAGGCTCAGGAGCCATTTTAGCTGCGCAGTCGACTTTGGGGAGGGAGGGAAGGAGGGAGGAGGATCCATTCGTTGCAGCAGAACCCCAACCTGAACGTTCACAAGCAGAGGAGGCGATCTCGTATTTTCGTTGCTGTTGTTGTTGTTGCGTCGAAACCGTTTGCCCCTGGTGGGGCTTGGCATAGCGCTTCTCCGCCGGAGGCTCTTGTGGGTGGTGTTCATGGCGCCCGGCGCAGAGGAGGCGAGCGCAGACCAATGCGGGACATTTGAAGGGTGGCTTTTGGGCGCAGGAGGAGCTGTTTGTTTCTTCCCCTCCCAAGCCAGGAAAGAGACTCAGATTTAGGCGTTGTCCGGGCCAAGAGGCGAGGATGTTTGGCCAGGAGCAGAGCCGCGATCTCGGCTTCCTGCCTCGAGCGCTGCGGGATTGTCTATAATGGGGTTGTCATTGCGGATGGCAGTCAAGAGGCTTTTTTCCGCGTTCTGAATGTCTTTGCAGTCAATGGCCCAGTTATCTGCTCTTCTTCTGGAGTCACTCCTGGGTTTTTCTGTGGTAGCAAAGAGCTATGCTTATATGACACATCATGTAATATAGTATGATACAATTTAATATAACCACAGTCATTTCTGTCGCTGGCTCCCTGCAGAGCGTGTATTATTAAAACTATATAAAACATGTTCATTATATTTAAGCAGCCGGCATAAGTCCACGCAGACGAGCCAGTCCTGTTCCCCGCTGTAGCCAATGAATCCAATGCAATTTTTGGAAGCGCCTGGACAACAAGTGGGTCGTGGGATCTTTCTCCTCTGGCAGTGTTGCGGGCCAGGGGATGAATTTGTTGTTGTGTGGGAAGTTGTAAGTACGCGGCGCCGTGGCTTTCCTCGCGGTTCTTGTTTTCATTTCCCCCCGAAAGTCATCTGTGTATGGCCTCGGTCTTTAAACATACCGTCAGAGACAATTATGAGAATCTGCTCACGTTCGTCTTACTTTAAGATTGGTTCTCTGGCTGGGGTGAAACTGGGATTTCCAGCTCGTCGTCCTGAGGAAACATGTTTCGCACTGAAAGGCGTTTTCGGTAGCGGGTGGAAGGAGCGGCGGATGGGTAAACTTGACATTGTACCGTGGCCGGATGGACCCTCTCGGAGACGTGGGCATGCTCCGTCTTTCCCGAAGGGTCTTTGTTTCCTTCTTTTCTGGGTTTTCCCGCCGTATGGCGTTCGAGGCATATGTGTATTACAGAGCAGTTTTATTATGGTATTATCGACTCCCCCCCCCCCCGCCAAATCTGTTTTCCTGCGCCTGGAATGTGCATATTTTTGGAAGGGGAAATGTTTTTAGAGGCCACTGGGAAACACACAGCCAAGATCTTAGGACAGATTGTGTGTCTCTGTTTTGTTCTTTGAGGATTTGAAAGTATATATATACTTTCCTTTAGATATATCTATATCTATATTTATCCTTCTCCTTCAAATGACATTGGTGATCCGCTAGCTGGGGGAGAGACCCGGCGGAGTGTGGGCGGGCCGGCGCGCCGCTCAAGGACGGGACCGGGCGTCTTCCACAAGGCGATCGCTACTCTGCTCGGTTTCGAGAGCCCCACCTCAGGGTGTCTGATGCAGCCTGGAACTGGGGCAGCTCTTTATTGGGTGAAAAGCGGGATGGGCTCTGGGTAGGATCCGTCTGAAAAATGTCCACTGTTGCTATCTGGGGAAATGAGAGTACTGAGGGGGGGAGATCATATGAACGATTGCTGGAACCAGACCTGTGGGAGCCAGGCGGTGGAGACACTGCCCAGTTAGGGCACAGAAAGAGACCTAGAAGCCTCCCCAGACCCTCGGGGT